AGAAATGCATGGAGGACCATGAGGGCCCTATAAGTTTCTAAATGGTCGACCGGGTCCGTTGTGTCGTCGAAAGAGTCGAGCGAGGGCATTTTGAACTTAGAAGGTAAGGGTTTGTCCCTGATGGAGGCAATGAACGGTGAGTTTGTTGTGGTAGATGGTTTATTCTGTATGTTTTGCATGACTCTTTGAAGCTGGAGTTTCATGGTGCGGAGTTCCGCATCGTAGAGAGGAACATTGTCACTACCGGAATGCAGTGGAGGCTGGACACTGCTGGCCTCTCCCTCGGGGGTGGGTGCCTGGACAGATGGACGTGGGGCCCGAGGTGACGGGTTCATATCTGGGGGAGGGGGTCGCAAGCCTTCAAAGTTGGATGGGTGGGACTGTTGGATAAGATGGCTCGGGGCTCATTCTTGGTTGGGTAGGATATCTTGAGGTGGTGAAGGACGTATAGGAAGGTTTCTTTGAAGTAGAGCATTGATCAGGGCTTGGTTTTGTTCGGCTAGGCAGTTAATGCCGTTGGTGAGCTCGGTGAAGTACTGCGGTGGGTTGTTTGGGTTAGGGGGATCGGCTTGGGGATCGGCAACGTTGTATTGAGAAGCCATGGATCTGGTTGTGACCATCCACCTTGGTGGGTGGCAGATGAGGATTATCAGGAGTGGGTCTCTGGCGACAATGAACACAGTTGCCAGACGGACCAAAAAGGTTTCCCACAGACGGCGCCAACTGATGATACAATGGGTTCCAGACGGAACGGGTTAGTTTGATCCACGCTTCCCAAACTGGTGCCCGAGACGCCAAGCCCACGGAGAGACTTTTTCTTTGTCTTAGGAGCCTGCTTATATGCATTGCTCATCATTTCCTTGTCCACTCTGAGCCATCATGTTGGCCGAAAGTCTATGCTCTAACTTGCCTTGTTCATGGTGAGGCTGTTTTGTTCCGACGTGAGAGCTTATCATAATAAATGTTGCGGGAAAGTTCATTAATGGCTGATGTGTGGTGCAATAACTTTGCAGGATCTTTGTCTGCTGATGTGGCTCGTTCTTCACTTGCCACGTGTTTAGATGTTATTAGTCCTTAATACCACGTTAAGCTCCGGCAGTGTTGGGCTTTAGTGTTTGAATTATGTATTGGGTTCTGAGTGATGAGGCAAAAGCTCTTATACGCCCACCTATGTCAGTAGTCCCCCATTCCCAAGTGCAGCTTCAGTCCAACGAAGGGAATAAGGAAGAAAACAAGGGTTGTGAGAGGTCGTCGGAGAGAAACAGGCCGACCGCGAGGGGGGACCGAGCAAGAAGATTGGCTGCGAGGAGGACCGACGACGAAGGATGACCGAGGGTGAAGGGCGACTGAGAGGAGGGTCGACCGCAAGGGGTGACCGAACGAGAAGGTCGACTGAGAGGAGGGCTGATCGCGAGGGGTGACCGAGCGAGAAAGTCGACTGAGAGGAGGGGCGACTGCGAGGGGTGACTGAGCGAGAATGTCGACTGAGAGAAAGGGCGACCGCGAGACGGGCATCGTTTCGCCACCTCGCCAGAGCAGATAATATCTTACCGGGGCACGAGAAGCTAGTCACGTCAGTTTGGTGGCCTATGCAGGTCGTCCGCCAAACTCTCCCGCTGTTCGCGGCCCAGTCCGCTGGGGGGTTATGTTAAGGCAATCCCACATTACCTGGGAGGGACACTTGCAATCAACTTATAAGCGTACTGGCCCCCTCCACCTTGTAAGAGGCCTTTTAAAGTCGTGAGGCCGACGGGCGTCGTTTCGCCACCTCGCCAGAGCGGACAATATCTTACCAGCGCGCGAGAAGCCAATCACGTCGGTTTGGTGCCCCATGCAGGTCGTCCGATAAACTCTCCCGCTGTTCGCGGCCTAGTCCGCTGGGGGGTTATGTTGGGGCAATCCCACATCGCCTGGGAGGGGCACTTGCAATCAACTTATAAGCGTACTGGCCCCCTCCACCTTGTAAGAGGCCTTTTAAAGCTGTGAGGCCGACGGGCGTCGTTTCGCCACCTCGCCAGAGCGGACAATATCTTACCGGGGCGCAAGAAGCCAGTCACGTCAATACGTATATTTTTGGTTGTTTCTTTAAGGGTTTTTGGTTTTGTTTCAGGATTTTTAGGTTCTTGAGAGAGAAGATATATATGTAACGTTTCAGAAGAAAGGTGTGTATTGTATTCATTATTGTCATTTTTGGTAATTTTACGTAAAGTGTGTATCATAGCCCTTCATCCTTTCTGGTCATTTTACATTAGGTTAATATGTTAATAAAAAATAAACTAATTAATAGCGTGCCTTGAGATGAAAGGTAGTATGTAAATAGAGGCACTCTACTCAAGACCTAACCTTTTCGAGGTTTAATGTCTTTTTTAGTGAAAAATAATAAAATTTAAGTACAAAAAATAAAAAATAAAAAAAAATGTTCAGGCTCGCCCAAGCTCGGCCCAAGCTCAAGCTCAGGCTGAGGCTCGGCCCACCGGCCCGACTCGCCTAAGACCCGAATACTTCCTAAACTTAATTTTTTAATCCATAAACTGACCCAATCCAAATTTTAAGAATGCTGCTGTATACATTTACCTTTTTTCTTTGGACCCTTATTCATGAATATATTTTTTTTATTACAAATTTATCCCTACATTAATTTTCAATTTTGTCCCCATCTCTATCTTTACAAACCCCAACCTTAATCTCATCTTCATCCACATTCTGGCCAGCAACGCAGCTCCGGTTGGCACCTTCTTTGCTGGCAATTGCTTGCCCTTCCACAGCGCCTCCACTCCCGTTCTTCCCTAAACATCCTTTCGTTTTTCTCAACGTTGTTACCCTTCTTCGCCCTTATTACCCTTTATCTTCAACAATAATACCCATAACCTTCTTTACTATGCGTACAGATACAGAGACAGTCACCAAGAGCATCTAAGCCCCATTTTTTTGCCCCCACAACCACCATTACCGCCATTCGGATTACCAACTTCGAATAAAAGACAAGTGTGCGGTGGTATATAACCGAACAAATGGGATCTGTTCGAACATAACAAACTGGGGCCAAACAAAGTTTACTTATTCAACTATAGAGCACCAAATTGATTCAAAAGGTTTGGTCTTATAGCCTAACAAAGCCCTAGCCATGGAAATCTTTGAAGCCTTAGCCATGGTGACCTTTCGAAATCGTATCCATGACAATCTTTAAAATCACAACCCTTTAAACATAAATGAAGAAAGATGAGGAGAGATTGGGACAACAAAGTCGAAATATAATGAGAAATAAAAGAAATTAAATTGTAGGGAGGTGTTGAAAAGGGATAAGAAAAGGCTTGAGGGCTAAGGTAATGGTTGAAAGATGACGGTATGTGGAAATGATAAGGAAAAAACCTGTCGAAGATGGGGTGATAGGAGGAAAAAAGCCTACCAAAGGTGAGAAAGCGATAGAAATGGGAGTTCAACACATAGGGCGTGTTTGATTCGTGGGATTGGAGGGGGGGACTATCCACTATTTAGATTACAATCCAAATAGTGCTCCTTATCCGCCGTTTGATTTTTTTTTAGTCCGTCGGACATGGAGTCCGGCCGGACTCCTTATCCCCCATATGGGGGACTATTGTGTCCTTGGGGGGGTGGGACAGAATGTGGGGGACTATCCACTGTTGGGATTATATTTAATAATAGTTGAGAAATGTTCATATAATTAATTCTTTCAAAAATGTCAATACAAAAAAACAATAAATTATATATATATACAAATTATTTGAGGATCATTTTTTATATTGAAAGAGTTTATTTTTACAAATAAAAACAATAAATAAACAAAATAATATATCTAAAATGATGTTTTGATGACTTTTTTAAAATTTAAAGTAATTGTAATAATTGTTTTGTTTTAAAATGAATGGCCCAAGAGCACTATTGACTTTATTCACTCAAATAAAATACGAGGATTGTGACTTTATTGAATCATTATCAAATTGTATCAACAAAACGTAAAATTTTACTGATTTAAAATAATAAAAATCACAAATTTAAATATTCTTTGTTTGAAGGGTGAGGGAATTGATTTGCTAGGGCTCATTAAACCGAAGAAAGGCTAGTAGTGTTCCCATACAATCGAACCCCACTCTATCATCCAATGAGCCTCCAAAAATTGTGCGGCCCAAACGTGTGCCCATGAGTGTGGTGGCGCGTACTCACAATCATCGATTCGTAATAACACCAACACACTTGACCTTAGTAAACAATTGAAAAAGGGTAAAATAGTCTTTTGTTCATTTATCCTATCCAGTCCGTCCAACCAAACGTTGGATTCACTGAAAATAGTCCTATCCAGACATCTAATCCCATGAAAAAACAAACACAGGATACATATCCAATCCGACCAAATAGTCCGGGGGATTCACAGTCCCAGGACTCAAGTCCGATGGATTCTAATCCCCTATTTTTCAGTCCGTCCAATCAAACACACCCATAGGGTTATTATTGAAATTATGATAGGTGTTCATAGAAGAAAAATTAAAAATCAATTTTAATAAATAAAAATTCAAAGAAATGGAGTTTCCTAAGAAATATGATAGAGACATTCAAAACTCTGAATTTTAGGCCAAGTTTGGAAAGATTAAAAAAGTGCATTTTTTGTCTTTTTGGATTAAAAAATTGAGGTTGAAAATATGGATGTTTGGGTTAACTTTTTGACTTTTTATTGAAAAATGTGTAATAAAAAATTGTAAAAATTGATTTGTAGGGAAAAATTTGAATTGGGAGTTGTGCAGCCGTAATTGTTGACTTTTGGTGAATAGTATTAACTTTTTAACTTTTTAAGTAACTTTTTGACTTTTTAACTTTTTTAAATCTTCCCAAATTTGAACTTAATAAAAACCCACAAAACCGGACATGAGTGGACCCAATTTACACCCTTTCCTGCCCCAAGTGCTTTCTCTCTCACCCTTTTTCTTTTTCCCTCTCTCTCCCCTCTCTTTCTTTGCTAGACGCGTATACCATTGGAGTAAAATAAATACACATTCTTAATAGACCGAGCAAGTCAACTAACGGATGAGGACTACCAATGATTTAACAAACTTCAGCATCATCACTCCAACCAATATCAATCAACAACGGTGCGAGGTGAGAGAGAAATGGAGGGTGTAGGAGACTACTCAAAAAAACCGATCATCCATATCAAAATTGAATAAAATGCCAGAAAAGGAATCATACTATACTTCCCCAACACTTCCTCACTCCACACTCGCTCTCTAAGCCCTCCTCCTACTAATCTCTACCATCTCTCCACCCACAATCAAACTCAAACTCAAACTCAAACCCAAACCCAAACCCAAACCCAAACCCAAACCCAAAATCAGATCAGATCAGAGAGTCTATCATGATATTCCAAGGATTCATCAACGACTTGAAAGATCTCTGGGAAAAATGGGACATCCAATTTTTCATCCTCGCCAGTCTCTCTCTCCAAGCCTTCCTCATCCTCTCCGCCCCCCTCCGCAAACGCACCTCCAACCCGTTCGTCGTCATGCCCCTCTGGCTCGCCTACCTACTCGCCGACGCAGCCGCCAACTTCGCAGTCGGACTCATCTCCAAGAGCCAGTACACCAAATCCAAAGACAAAAACAACCCCCCCATATCAGATCTCCTCGCATTCTGGGCTCCATTTCTCCTCGTCCACCTCGGCGGCCCCGACACCATCACCGCCTTCGCCCTCGAAGACAACGAGCTCTGGCTCCGTCACCTCCTCCAGCTCATTTTCCAGTCCGGCACCGCTTTTTATGTCTTCGTCCTCACTCTTACCCATAACGATCTATGGATCCCCACTCTCCTCATGTTTTTGGCTGGACTCATTAAATACACCGAGCGAACTCGGTCTCTGTACCTCGCTAGTACTCGGAGATTTCGTGAATCTTTGCTTACGGAGCCCGATCCTGGCCCCAATTATGCTAAATTGATGGATGAGTATTTCTCGAAGAAAGAATCCAAGCTTCCCACGAAGATAGAGATGATTCCGGAGCCTCAGAGGGTGATCAAAACAGTCGATGAAGCGGACATTAAAGACTTGAATGATCTTGAAGTCATCAAGCACGCTTATGGGTTTTTTCTTACTTTCAAAGGTCTTATTGCAGATCTGATTTTCAGCTTCAGGGAGAGGAATCAGAGCCGAGATTTCTTTCTCAAAAGAACTCCGAAAGATGGGTTTAAAGTGGTTGAAGTTGAACTCAATTTCTTCTATGAAATTCTCTACACTAAAATTGTGGTGATTCAAGGTAAACTTGGTTATTGTCTTAGATTTCTTTCAATTAGCTGTGTTGTTGTGTCATCTGTGCTTTTCTCTTTGACGGACAAGAAGGATCTTAAAAAGGTTGATATAAGAATCACTTATGCTTTGCTTGGTGGTGGAATTGCTCTTGATGTGATTGCTTTTTTCATGGTTGTTTTGTCTTATTGGACTGCTATTGCACTCACCAAGTCTGAAACTCCATCCTGGTTCACTCGTCTTTTTAGGAAAATTCTTTGTGTTGATAGGACAAGGTGGATTGAGGACTTACCAAAGCCACACCCCCTTCGTTTGCGGTTGGTTCCTCCGGTGCTGCGCCGGAGGTGGTCCCAACGTCTCTCTCAATACAATTTGATAAATTATTGTATTTATCCACGTCCTAAAAACGCGGAGAGATTAATTGGGCTTGTGGGTCTTACCAACATTTTTGATGGGTGGAAATATGTGACAAAAGTGCAATTCACCAAGGAGTTAAGAGATTTCATTTTCGAAGAGCTTAGGATGAAATCCAGGATGGCTGATGATTTAGAAACTGCCAAGGAGATTTGTTTGGCAAAAGGCGATTGGGTTCTTGGGATTGAAGGTTGTACTACTTTACTCCCTTATAGTATTCAGACTGACTATGACGAAAGCCTTATATTGTGGCACGTTGCTACCGAGCTCTGTTATAGTACCGATAAAGGCAATGAGGAGAACCAGAAATTTCGCGTCATTGCTAAGGTTCTATCGGATTACATGTTGTATCTTCTGATTATGGAGCCTACGTTGATGTCTGCAGTGGCAGGTATTGGGCAAATTAGATTCAGAGATACATGTGCCGAGGCTAAGAAATTCTTTAAAGGAAGAAAAGTAGGAAAGGATGATAATCGATCTTGCCTGAAAATTGGCTGCCTTATTTGGAAAAAATTTTTTTTTTTTTTTTTTTTTTTTTTTTTTTTTTTGTGTAGCTGGTGTTTTAGATTTATATCAGTATTATGTCTCTGAAATCTGAATGTTGAGTTTAGATTTTTGTCTGACTCACCCACGGTTTTGTTTAGTGTATGCTATTGACTTGACATTTCTAGTTAAAAATCATTAGTTGATTTGGTTTTCATCTGAATTCATAGTATGTATGGCCAAAATGTTTTTGGATGAAGATTTTGAATACCTAAAATATGAATATTTTAGCATTTTTAATTCTCATCAAGTGTGTGATATGCTTGTCAAATTCTAAGTTGGTATTTTTTCGAGCGGCTTTAGTGATTTTATTGGGGAGATCCAGAGATGGTATATTTGTCTAGAACGTCAGAGTTGGATTTTGGTTTGAAACTCTTTAAAAAATAAAAATAAAAAAATTTGGAGGCCACTTTTATCCCCCTTGCAAGTTCAAGGTGGAATTTGGTATTCTATTACCTTTTTTCTCACTGGATTGGGGTCTATTTTCTGCATATTACTTCTATCTATATCTTTATCTCATTGAATGATGCCCTATCATTTTATTCTTTTTTTTTTTTTTTTTTCCTTGTGTGTGCATAACATTAATATTCCATTTTTATATACATATGGGGCGAGAGCTACACGAATTAATTCAGGCAGTTTCAAGGCTGAAGACTGAGGCATTGGCTATAAGTGCAGCTGTTACATAGCAACCATAAGGTTATTTAAAGTGAGAACACCACTGTTATTACAGCTGTACAGATGAATTCGGTCGTACCATACTCTATCGTGGTATATTGTCAATGATATCTTGGATCCTTTCCCGAACCCATACGTGTTTTTGTAATCTGCGGGTGTTATTGTACCTGGTTTGTATGCTACCATAATTTCCCGCCTTAACGGGCATATCATGTCATTGTTTGCTGCCTTGGTTCTATTTGTTTGATGTGATCCAAGCAGGTTCAACTGTGAACTGAAATGAACAAATCAATTTACTGGAAAATAAAACTTTCATAATAATGTTGCTGTAAAATTACTAGGAGCTGTGAAACATTGGAAAAGATTGAACTGATATTAACATATTTGATTTGGTATATTTTCTCTGTAATCTTCTTTGCCTTTTATAGTTGTACATGGCAATTTATAACCATGCCTGTCCCATTCTTTTGCTTCACCATTGGTTTTTTTATTTAATTGTAAATTTCATGTAACTTTATTGAACCCAAATAGTGACTTTCAAAATATATTTAAATTTAATTTATTTATACAACAAGGAAATCTAAAAAAAAAATTAAAAAGTTAAGCAAGAGCTAATTTTTAAGAATTTGATTCACTTTCAAATTCAAGAGAATTGATGATATGAGAGAACAAATTTGAAAATTGAAGGATATGAGATGTACCTAAAGAATAAAAAGAAGTCCCATGGGTGCGTTCCACATTTTATTTTGTATCCACTCTCTTCATCAGATGTATCTCAACAAGTGATAATATTTAAAAAAGGATTTAGCATCTCTTCAATAAATTGGACCACCTGTTCCAGGTGGGCTTTAGAGTTGTGGGCTTTTCTATCCTCTCACTCTCACTTCAATGAATTAGATAGTCACCACTTGAAAAAGCACATGTTGAGAGCTTTTAGCCCAATGATATCACTCCATTACTCGGAGCAGAGGGTTGTAGCCCATATGCCAATGAAGTGGAATTGAATGATTTTTTTTTTATCAAAATGTTAATTTTTATATTTGGTTAAATTAAAAAAATAATGACAAATGTATTATAAATGAAATTATCTTTCATCATTTTAAGATAATACTCATTCCATAGAAAAGCCTAAGCAATTTCCATTCTATCTCATTTCAATCAATCAAATAGAGTATTGGGAGTAGGCTAGACATAACCTATCTTTTTTCCATACCAATTATAATTTTTAAGGTGTTGTTCGGTAATGTTTGTAGTTTATCAATATATTTTTTTTATGAGAACAAAAATAAAAAACATATTTTAAGAATTTGTTTTGTAACCAAGTGAGAGAGCTGACCAGATGAAATTTCAGACAATAAGTGGTTGGTGGTAGTTTGAGGTGGTTGCTAGCCTCCGACAGTAGCTAACAATGATGGTCTGAGGTGGTTGCCAACCTCAAAAAATAACCAACAATGGTGGCCTGAGGCTAGAGTTACATGAATTACTTCAGGCATTGCAGAGCGAATACTCATGATGCTCAGCTTAGTGAAGGTGGGCAGCTCATCACTCTGGTTTGGTTGTTGATGGCTCATTTTGGTTTGGGAGACCAATTTCAGATTAATGAAGGGCCAAACTAATTGTGGGGAAGTAACTGAATTGCTTTGTTGTGCCAATTGTTTGAAGATGTGTGCTTTACTCTTGTAGTATTCTATGCGTAATTTGGTTGAATTCTAGTCATTTTCAATGGAGATGTTTTTTACCATGTGTTTGGGGAACTTGTTCCAGCCTCTGTTGCTCTCTTGTTTCAATATTCAATAGAAGCTATGTTTGTGATGTACAAATTTACTATAATCCGACAACCATGATGAATTTGGGTCACACATTGTGATGTAGGACAAGATTTTAAGACTTTTTGTATTTTTAGTTTTAATATTTTTTGATAAATTATTTTATTAGGAATCTTGTAATTTAGTATAAATAATTTAGAATTATTAGGTTTCTTAATTTAGTATAAATAATTTAGTATAAAGTTGACATATGCACCAGAGAGGTTGATTGAGGATGCAATTGATGTTCGAAAGATGATAATTGAATGTCCAATTGAATCTAAGACAGAGCAAAATCTAGAGAGTATCCAACATCAACATAAAATACCCTTCGTTGATTTTCTTGGTATTGAGAAATTTAATTTGATTTTCAATACTTGTCTAATTGATCTTGTCAACCAGTTGAAGCATATAGAGAATAACTTTCAGAAAGTAGACTTCTCTGCATATAATGTTCGGAAGAGAGACAAACAACTGAAGTATTCCAAGTATCTTTTTATTTGGGATGGACGATGGCAGATCTCTAATATGAACTCGAGGACGAGTTCTTTCAAAGAAGAGGAGTCTGATGTAGGACAAGATTTTCAGGACAAGATTTTAAGAATTTTTATATTTTTAGTTTTAATATTTTATAACACTTGACGCAGCGGAATACACGAGAACTATATATCGTTCTAGTAGACGAAAGGGGCTCTCGAATCCACGAGAAAAATAGAACCTTGAATCCACAAGGAAGAGAAATATTATTGAATGAATGAATAAAAGTTGTATAAAAGTTGTCTTTGCCATGAGTTTTACATAGCTGTTTATAATAAACTAAATCTAATACTTGTAGGAAAAGTAATTCTAAAATAAACTAGGAAACTTAAATCAACATAAATTAGGAGACCTAAGAGAATAAGAAACTAGAATTCTTAACTATTTAAAATCCTAGTCAAAATCTAATTCTAAAATAATAAAATTAAGAAACCTAATAATTCTAAATTATTTATACTAAATTACAAGATTCCTAATAAAATAATTTATCAAAAATATTAAAACTAAAAATACAAAAAGTCTTAAAATCTTGTCCTACATCAAAAGTGCACTTTGTGTTCCAAATAAATGATGAAGATATAGGGGTATTTTAATCTTTTTCATTAAATCGTTAAGAGGCCTAATGGTGCATTTCAGTCCACAATTCACAAGAAGGTTATATGGTCATTTCAAAATGCTCAGGAGATAAACCGCACACAACTCAAATCATAGGAAGTAAAATGAAGTTTACCCTAAAAAATATACACTAACTGACTTTTTATTTATAATTTTTGAAATTTATATGGGCATAAATTAAAAACTATAACCATAAACCTTGACAAATAAGAAGAGTATTGTATTATATAACACAATAATAATAAAATATAGGCACATTTATATAAGGGTAACCTTTCCTGAAGTATGGAGAAGTAGCCCAATAATTCTAGTATAATTATATTGCCTCCTTCTTAGTATAAGGCGAAATCAAGTGAAACAAATGTAAATAGTGTGAAATCACGTTGATAAACAAAGAAAAATAAGCATTTCAATGTAAAAGATATGAGATCATTATTTTTTCAAATAAAAATCCAGGATTTCGTGTGTTTATCAATTTAAACCCTAGGGTTTCAATTGTAATAATTAAAATCTTGATGTTACTTCTGGTCACAATTTAGCCTCCCGTCCATCTCCGTCTAATTGAACTAACGAAAATTTAGGAAAAATTTTTAGATTCAAACTCATATCTCCCTCATCATAATTTCATTTCGCCTCATGTCGTTGGATTCGCCTCATGGCCTAGTTTTCATTCCACTCTTCATATGCCTTGTTCCAGCTTTTTTACATGTCGTTGAAGCTCCAAAAGTTGGGCAAAAATATAATATATATATATATATATATATTTTCCGTCTATCTTCTATCTCCTTGCGTCATCCTTCCTCCTTCCTTTCTTCCTTCATGGCCCTTCCACGGAGCTCGTGGTGGCCACCGAACCTCCAATGCTAGCGGTGGCGATGCTGTCAAGTGGTTAAAACTTTAGTTTCATTTTGTTCTATAGAGAATATTCTTGGCTTATTTTTTAGGCCAAGAAAAGAAGGAGCTAGAATGCTAAAAGAATACCTGCACTGTATTATTATTATTATTATTATTATCATTATGTTTCACTTCTTTATCATTATGTTAAGCTTTGTTCACTTCTTTATAAGCATAAGCTCTTTTTGCAGCAAACGACTCTTCACCATGTGAAGGGTGCAAGACTTTTGGGTGATGGCTTTGGTGCAACTCCGGAGATGTGCAAAAAGAACCTCATTTGGGTAGTAACCAAAATGCATGTTGTGGTAGATTGTTATCACCACTTGGCATCACCGCAATCATCAGAGGGTTCGGTGGAAGGGCCATAAAAGATGAGGAAAGGAGAGAGAATAATTGTGAAAAGGAAGGACGAAGGAAGAAGCACGGAGATAGAAGATAAAGGAAGGAGAAGAAGAAAGAAAAGGAGAGAAAATCTTATTTTTGGCCAACTTTTAGAGTTTCGATGGCAAGCAAAAAGAGATGGAATAAGGCGTATGAGGACTGGAATGAAAATTAGGCCATAAGATGAATCCAACGACATGAAAATAAGGCAAAACAGAGTTACAATAAGGGAGATACAAAGACTTGAATGTGTGGATTTAAATCTAAAAATTTTGCCCAAATTTCCATTAGTTCAATCAGACAGAGATGGACAAGGTGCTAAATTGTGACACGGTAGTAACATAAAGGTTTTAATTGAAACCTTGGGTTTAAATTAAAAAAACACGCGAAATTTTGGAATTTTTTTTTGTAATTTGCCCTAAATTTTTTATGAAAATAAAATTAAGTATTATATGAATTAAAATCTTATGGACGCTCAATGTCGTCATGCTAAAATTATTAGATTTACTATATTTATTTATTTTTCAAATTTCTAGAGAAATCTCTATAATTTACCCTTTACATTGAGAGAGCGGAAAAACAATTTTCTGCAAGTGGGGTTTCACCTTTCATCCATAATTTCAGCTGAGGTTGTAGATGAATCCAGTTATTCACAAGTTTGGTCTGGCTAGGCTTGGTAAAATTTGGTTTGGCTCCATTTGTTAAGTGAATCCAGTTATTCACAAGTTTGGTCTGGCTAGGCTTGGTAAAATTTGGTTTGGCTCCATTTGTTAAGCAAATAATGAACTTGAATAAGATTTTTAACATTGTTTAATAAATGAGTTGACTTCAAACGTGAATAGACTCACCTTGTAAAGATCAGTTCATTTATCATTTATGTAAATAATAGAATAATACATTATTTATGTATATTAAATAATGTAAAAATGTGTATAAATAAATAATAAAATAAATATATTCTAATACAAAGTCTTATTTTTATATTTAAATAATATAAAATAAATAAAAAAATTAATATTGAATTTTAAATTAAGCTCAAACTTAAT